TTGATTCCTCCAGTTCCATTCTTCTTTCTCAGGATTACTTTGGCTATTCGAGGTTTTTTGTATTTCCATACAAATTGTGAAATTATTTGTTCTAGTTCTGTGAAAAATACCGTTGGTAGTTTGATAGGGATTGCATTGAATCTATAGATTACTTTGGGTAGTATAGCCATTTTGACAATATTGATTCTTCCGATCCATGAACACGGTATATTTCTCCATCTGTTTGTGTCCTTTTTGATTTCTTTCATCAGTGTTTTATAGTTCTCTATGTATAGGTCTTTTGTTTCTTTAGGTAGATATACTCCTAAGTATTTTATTCTTTTTGTTGCAATGGTGAATGGTAAATCCTGCATGACACCCGTGGTGGCCAAAAACAAAAAACACTCAACAGAAACATCTTCAACGGGGGAGATGGAATTGGGCCATGGATCATGCTAGCTGAGTCCCTTAAATTCCCTTTAAAAAGAAAAAGAAATAGACTCCACCACATATCAGGGACTTCACTGAAGTCTTTACTGAGAGTGCATGGGTGTAACCGAAAGTGGGGTATGCCTGTCGGTCCCTCAAAAGCCAGTGATGAGGCCAGGTTGCTGGAAAGGGAACTGCTTTATTTTGGATATTGGCAGATTGGCTGGGTGGATGGAGTGGGGGTGGGGTTGGTGGGGGGAAGGGAAAAACAAAGTTCGAGGATTTTCTGTGGATTAATGAGGGGCCATGAACTAAGGGCTTTTGTATCTGAGGATGCCCCCCTGCGACCTGCCCCCCACCCCCAAAAAGGGGATAGATGTTCCCAGTCACGTGATGGTGTTTTAGAGTACCAGGACTATGTTTCTTTCAAGTGTCTTCCATAACCTTCTCTTGTTAGCCACAGGTTTACTGCAAGTGGAGATGGCGGGGAGGACTCAGATGGTTTTCTTGAATGAAAATGTGACTATCTCTTGCAAGATCCCTGGTTCCCCACACCTGGACATCAACAGTATAGGTATCACCTGGTTTCAAAAGACTGGAACTTCTGAAACTGACACCAAACTGTTTGAGTATTTTGGAAACCACAGAGAGGCATCCCAACGTGGAGCCAGCGTGTCTCTACGAAGTCTGCAGAGGGGAGATGCCTCATTGCAGCTGCCTGGTGTCCGGCTGGAAGATGCAGGGGAGTACCGCTGTGAGCTGGTGGTTACTCCTCAGAAGGCACAGGGGACTGTCAGACTGGAGGTTGTAGGTGAGTGCCTGAGGGCAGTGCCCTGTGGTTTCCATGGTGATGGGGTTTGAGGTGATGTGGATGGGCTGAGTGGAGCAGAAGTTTAGAGCCTGGGCCTGGGAGTCAAATAGACATAGGTTTGAGTCCAGGATTCCATGGACTTCTTAACAACTTTGGGCAAGTTTTTAATCACGCTGAAACTCTAAACACATATAATAGTATTTTTTCTCAGAGAATTGATAGGGAAGTGGCTATGAAAAATGCAGGTAAGATAGCTAGTAGGAAGCTATTGTACAGCACAGGGAGCTCATCTGGGTATTCTGGGATGCCCTAGAAGGGTGGAATGGGGGATGGGGTCAAGGGGCTCAAGAGGGAGGGAATATATGCATACATAGAGCTGATTCACGCTGTTATACAGCAGAAATTAACACAACATTGTAAAGCAATTATACTCCAATTAAAATTTTTTTTTAAATGCAGGTAAAATGCTTAGACTAGAGCGTGGTCCATTTTAAGTGTCAGTAAAAGATAGCCACAGTAATTAGATAATTTCCCTGGTATGTCTAGCAGTGAACGGCGGCTGCGTGGCACTAGACATACCAGGGAAATTATCTAATTACTGTGGCTGTCTTTCACTGACACTTAAAATGGACCACACTCTATGCTAAGCATTTTGATTGCATTCAGAGATGGGCTCAATAAAGGACAGAAATGGTATGAACCTAACAGAAGTAGAAGATATTAAGAAGAGGTGGCAAGAATACACAGAAGAACTGTACAAAAAGATCTTCATGACCCCGATAATCACAATGGTGTGATCACTCACCTAGAGCCAGACATCCTGGAATGGGAAGTCAAGTGGGCCTTAGGAAGCATCACTATGAACAAAGCTAGTGGAGATGATGGAATTCCAGTTGAGCTATTTCAAATCCTAAGAGGTGATGCTGTAAAAGTGCTGCAGTCAGTATGTCAGCAAATTTGGAAAACTCAGCAGTGGCCACAAGACTGGAAAAGGTCAGTTTTCATTCCAATCCCAAAGAAAGGAAATGCCGAAGAATGCTCAAACTACTGTACAGTTGCATTCATCTCACATGCGAGTAAAGTAATGCTCAGAATTCTCCAAGCCAGGCTTCAGCAGTACATGAACTGTGAACTTCCAGATGTTCAAGCTGGTTTTAGAACAGGCAGAGGAACCAGAGATCAAATTGCCAATATCTGCTGGATCATCAAAAAAGCAAGAGAGTTCCAGAAAAACATCTGTTTCTGTTTAATTGACTATGCCAAAGCCTTTGACTGTGTGGATCACAATAAACTGTGGAAAATTCTGAAAGAGATGGAAATACCAGACCACCTGACCTGCCTCTTGAGAAACCTGTATGCACATCAGGGAGCACCAGTTAGAGCCGGACATGGACCAACAGACTGGTTCCAAATAGGAAAAGGAGTCCGTCAAGGCTGTATACTGTCACCCTGCTTATTTAACGTATATGCAGAGTACATCATGAGAAATGCTGGGCTGGATGAAGCACAATACTTTGGCCACCTGATGTGAAGAGCTGACTCATTTGAAAAGACCCTGATGCTAGGAAAGACTGAAGGCAGGAGGAGAAGGGGTCGACAGAGGATCAGATGGTTGGATGGCATTACCGACTCAATGGACATGAGTTTGGGTGGACTTCGGGAGTTGGTGATGGACAGGGAGGCCTGGCGTGCTGTGGTTCACGGGGTCGCAAAGAGTCGGACATGACTGAGCGACTGAACTGAACTGAACTGATATGTCTATAGTTAGCCTTCACTGAAGGGATACCTCTGAAAGGTAGCTAGGGAAGGAGAGCGATTGCACTCTGGTTCCATGGATCTGAATCCTATTCTGTCTGACTTTGCTGCTTCCAAACTGAGTGATTGGTCAGCCATTTAATATCTTTGCCTGTGAATTTTCCCACTCAAAATGAGGTGACAAGTGTAACCTGCCTCATAGTGTTCTGAGGATTAGATAAGCTCATGTACGAAAATGCTCGACCAGTGCTGTTGTAAGGCAGGTGCTCAGTCATGACTTACAACAGCAGCATTCTTCCCTAAACACCTTTTTGAGCTCCTGTTTCTGCTATTATAAGTAGGTTGGATTCTCTGTGGATGGGCTTGGGGCTGCCATAACAAAACACTACTGACTGGGTGGCTTATGCAACAGAAATTAACTTTTGCACAATTCTGGAGTCCAGAAGTCTGAGATCAAGGTGACAGCAGGGTTGGTTTCTTCTGAGGCCTGTTTCTTTGGCTTGTAGGTGGCTGTCTTTTCCCTGTGTTTGTGTATCCTAATCTCCTTCTATAAAGACATGCGTAAGATTAGGGCTCAACCTAATGATCTCTTTTAACTTAGCAACAACCTCACTAAAAACCCTATGTTTCAGCTTTTGCTTGTCTGTAAAGCTTTTGATTTCTCCTACATATTTGAATGAGATCCTTGCTGGGTATAGTAATCTGGGTTGTAGGTTTTTCTCTTTTGTCACTTTAAGTATGTCCTGCCATTACCTTCTGGCTTGAAGAGTTTCTATTGAAAGATCAGCTGTTATCCTTATGGGAATCCTCTTGTATGTTATTTGTTGCTTTTCCCTTGCAGCTTTTAATATTTACTCTTTGTGTTTGATCTTCATTAATTTGATTAATATGTGTCTTGGGGTGTTTCACCTTGGGTTTATCATGTTTGGAACTTTTAATGGACCGGAACCTGGTGGTCTGGAGTCGACGATGAGAAAGTGAAAGAAGGAAAGAGGCTAATATTCCCTGGGTTACGCAGCCGGTCTTCACAGTCCAGGGAATCAGTCAGAAATAGAGAGAAAGAGAGACATGGGGACCCAAGCTCTGATGGAGCAAAGGTGTTTTAATCAACATGGTGTGGGCATATATACTGTCTTACAAGGTAGTTATTCTCAGCAAAGATAAAGATTAAAATTCCAGACTTACAAAACATAAGGTGATCCACATTAAAGAGAGAGAGTTGTAAACAATCACTTTTACCACATGGCTCATAAGAAGGAAGAGGGTATTTATCACCGTATTGAATAACTAAGGAAGGGCATGCCTGGATTCCTCAGCCCTGGGAGAGGCTTGCCTCTCCTCTTAATTCCTGAATGTTCAGGAATTAATAAGGAACAGGGGATTCATGACAGATCCAAAACAGCACACAAGAAGTCTCCTGTTAAATGCTTCCTGACAGGGACTCTCTGGGTTTCTTGGACTTGGGTGGCTACTTCCTTCCCCATTTTTGGGAAGTTTTCAACGTTATCTCCTCAAGTATTTTCTCATGGCCTTTCTTTTTGTCTTCTTCTGGGACTCCTATGATTCGAATGTTGGGGCGTTTAACATTGTCCCAGAGGTCTCTGAGGTTGTCCTCATTTCTTTTAATTCATTTTTCCTCTCTGCTTCATTTATTTCCACTATTCTATCTTCCACCTCACTTATCCTATCTTCTGCTCAGTTATTCTACTGTTGGTTCCCTCCAGAGTGCTTTTGATCTCAGTTATTGCATTATTCATTATTGATCGACTCTTTTTTATTTCTTCTAGGTCCTTGTTAAACATTTCTTGCATTTTCTCAGTCCTTGTCTCCAGTCTATTTATCTGTAACTCCATTTTGTTTTCGAGATTTTGGATCATCTTTACTATCATTATTCTGAATTCTTTTTCAGGTAGACCCCCTATCTCTTCCTCTTTTGTTTGGTTTGCTGGGCATTTATCATGTTCCTTTACCAGCTGAATATTTCTCTGCCTTTTCATTTTGTTGTAGATTGCTGTGTTTGGGGTGGCCTTCCTGTATGCTGGGAGTCTGTGGTTCCTCTTTATTGTGGAGGGTCCTCCCTGAGGGTGGGGTTGGACAGTGGCTTGTCAAGGTTTCCTGGTTAGGAAAGCTTGCGTCGGTGTTCTTGTGGGTGGAGCTGGATCTCTTCTCTCTGGAGTGCAATGAAGTGTTCAGTAGTGAGTTTTGAGGTGTCTATGGTTTGGTGTGACTTTTGCCCACCTGTTTTTTTGTGCTCAGGGTTATTTTCCTGCTTTGTTGGAGAATTTGCTTGGTATGTCTTGCTCTGAAACTTGTTGGCTCTTGGGTGGAGCTTGGTTTCAGTATAGGTATGGAGGCTTTTGGATGAGCTCTTGTCAGTTAATGTTCCCTGGAGTCAGGAGTTTTCTGGTATTCTCAAGTTTTGGACTTAAGCCTCCTGCCTCTGGCTTTCAGTCTTATTCTTACAGTAGCCTCAAGACTTCTCCATCCATACAGCACTGATGATGAAACATCTAGGTTAATGGTGAAAAGATTCTCCACAGTGAGGGACACCCAGAGAGGTTCACAGAGTTACATGGAGAAGAGAAGAGGGAGGAAGGAGATAGAGGTGACCAGGAGGAGAAGAGGGGTAGTCTAAAGGAGAGAGAGCAATCTAGCCAGTAATCAATTTGCTATGTGCTCTCCACAGTCTGGATCACCCAGAGAGGTTCATTGAGTTCCATAGAGAAGAGGGAGGAAGGAGGTAGAGGTGACCAGGAGGAGAAAAGGGGGAATCAAAAGGAGAGAGAGCAGTCTAGCAGTAATCAGTTCCCTAAGTGTTCTCCACAGCCCAGAACACCCAAAGAGAGTCACAGAGTTAAGTAGAGAAGAGAAGGGGAGGGAGGAGATAGAGGTGACCTGGGGGAGAAAAAGGAGAGTCAAAAGGGGAGAGAGCAATCAAGCCGGTAATCACACTCCTCTAAGTAAAAATTTGAACTGAAGATTGGATTCTTAAAGGTACAGAATTGATAACAAATACTAAAAACCAAAGATTAAAAATCTAGAGTAGAGGTTAGACTCTCAAAAATACAATATTAAAAATGCAAAACAAAATCACAAAAAATATTAAAAAGATATATATGAAATTTGCTTTAAAATAGCATCTTTATTTTGCAAGGTAGTAGTAGATTATAAAAATGAAAATTAAGGGAGTAATAAAGAACTTAAAAACATTAAAAAATGATAATAGTAAAATATATCTAGGAATTTCTCTGGAGCAGTTGAGGGCAGTGTGGGGTCAGTTCAGTTTCAGATAGTTCCTTGTTCCAGCTTGTATTTCTTCTCAAGGTCCATAGGCCCCTTCCAATGCTTAGTCAATGCTAACTACAGGATTTTAATCTGTTGCACCTGTCACTTCCAAAGCAGTTCCCTCTTTGTTTATTTTGGCTTTCTCTGTTTGCAAGCCTCTTCAGTGTCTAATTTCCACCCTGACACAAGGGGGCGATGGTGGTCACTTATTTAGGCTCACTTGTTCAATTGTGCTGTGGGGAGGGAGGAACACTGTGGACAAATATCACTGGTGTGTGTGGGGAGTGCTTGCAGTGTGTGGGGAGTGCTCGCAGTGTGTGGGGAGTGCTCGCAGTGCATGGACCACACTGGCTTTGCTCCAGCTCACGGCGCGTGTGCTTACATGACTCAGCTATCCCACTGCTGGGCATGAACACTGAGGAAACCGGAATTGAAAGAGACATGTGTACCCCAGTGTTCATCACAGCACTGTTTACAATAGCCAGGACATGGAAGCAACCTAGATATCCATCGGCAGATGAATGGATAAGAAAGTTGTGGTACCTATACACAATGGAGTATTATTCAGCCATTAAAAAGAATACATTTGAATCAGTTCTAATGAGGTGGATGAAACTAGAGCCTATTAACAGAGTGAAGTAAGCCAGAAAGAAAAGCACCAATACAGTATATTAACACATACATATGGAATTTAGAAAGATGGTAACGATAACCCTGTATATGAGACAGAAAAAGAGACACAGATGTAAAGAACAGACTTTTGGACTCGGTGGGAGAAGGTGAGGGTGGGGTAATTTGAGAGAATAACATTGAAACATGTATATTACCGTATGTGAAATAGATTGCCAGTCCAGGTTCGATGCATGAGGGTGCTCAGGGCTGGTGCACTGGGATGACCCTGAGGGACAGGATGGGGAGGGAGGTGGAGCGGGGTTCAGGATGGGGAACACATGTAAATCCATGGCTGATTCATGTCAATGTATGGCAAAAACCACTACAATATTGTAAAGTAATTAGCCTCCAATTAAAGTAAGTTAATTAATTAAAAAAAAAACCCTATCTCTAAATATAGTCACAGTCTGAGGGACTAGGTTTAGGACTTCAACATATGAATTTTGGACGGGTTCAATTCAGTATAACTGGAGGGCAATATCTGTGAGCTCCTCACAATTGCACTGAAGACTTGGAATGTTTTGTACATATAAATTTTGGAGGTGGGGAAGGTATATTAGAATTCCTCTGCAATTGATAGCCTTAAATAAAAGTTTTTTTTTTTTTTCCAAAAATTAAATAAATAGACTTTTTTTTTTAGAAGAGGTTTAGATTTATGGAGAAATTGCAAAGATAGTACAGAGTTCCCGTATTACTCTTGCCTCCACACCTTACTTGCCCTATTAACATCTTGCGTTTATGCTATATTTTTATAATTAATGAACCAATATTGATACATTTTTGTTTATTAAAGTCCATAGTTTATTCACTTGTACCTCAGTCAGTAAAGAATCTGCCTGCAGTATGGGAGACCTGGGTTTGATACCTGAGTCAGGAAGATCCCCTGAAGAAGGAAATGGCAACCCACTCCAGTATACTTGCCTGGAAAATCTCATTGACACAGGAACCTGGTGGGCTGCAGTCCATGGGGTCGCAAAGAATAGGGCATGACTGAGCAACTAACACTTAACTTACTTACATAGTTTATTCAGATTTCCTTAGTTTTTTTCTCCTGATAATTTTTTTTTTGCTCTGAAGGCCACTTTTTTCAAAAATAGTTTTATTTATTTATTTGTTTTTGGCTGTGCTGGGTCTTCATCGCTCCATGGGCTTTTGTCTAGTTGTGGCAAATAGGGGGTGCTTCTCATTGCAGTGGCCTCTCATTGTGGAGCATGGGCTCTAGGGCACATGTGCTTAATCATTATTTAAAAGTCTCTTATCTGATAATTCCAAAATCTGTGTTATACCAGAGTTTGGGTCTGATGCTTGCTTTGTCTTTTCATACTTTTTGGCATGCCTTGTAATTTTTTGTTGAAAACCAGATGTTACATATCAGATGATAGGAACCGAGGTGAATAGGCTTTTGGTATGAGAATCTGTGTTTCTTTGGCTAGGAGTTGGACTGTGTTTAATGTTAATGCTGTACCTATAGGTGCCAGAGACTTCAGTTCCTTCTGGTGTCTTTCCCTCCCTGCCTTGTTTCCTTTGAGTTTCCTCATGAACTCCTTCTGAAATAGAGCCCGTGTTTAACAGCTCTCTCAGTTGTACTCTACTGTTATCATTCTGGGGCTCTGTTGATGTAGTGGTTAGGTGTAGAGGGGAAGCTGTTTATAATTTTCTGATTAAATCTCATTCTTTGAGTTGCCTGAGCCCCTAGACTGTCTCACCTTCACAAGTGTTTCTAGGTGAGACAGGAAGGCTAGAGGGGGCTGGAGTTGGCTAAACATCACTGTCCCAGGTCAGATAAGACTTTGGCAAATTCTTTTCCCTTAAGAGCATCCTTTATTGTGGAGAATGCACTGGCTGTACATATATAAATACTTAATTTTTATTTGTTTAATTACTCAGTTTTGACTGCTATGGGCCTTTGTTGCTGTGCATGGGCTTTCCCTAGTTGCAGCAAGTAGGTGCTACTCTCAGGCTGTGGTTTGTGGGCTTCTCGTTACGGTGGCTTCTCTTGTTGCAGAGCCCAGGCTGTGGGGTGCACAGGCTTCGGTAGTCAGGGTGCATGGGCTTAGTTCCTCTGCAGCATGTGGAATCTTCCCAGACCAGGGATCAAGCCCATGTCCCCTACATTGGCAGGCACATTCTTAACCCCTGGACCACAAGGGAGTCCTGGGTATATTTTGAAATATACTTTTCTTCTCTTCGCTGCTCAAAAGAGGAGTGGGTTTTTCTTGGGTCTTCACAGTGAGAGCCTGGTGGGATTCTTGGAGGCACAACTCATGAAAGTGTGGCCCGCTCTACAGCTGGGCCGTTCGGAGTTCTTTCCTCTCAATCTAGTCCACACTCATCCTCTAGCAATTTGTCAAGAGTCAGTGCTTATGTGTGTCAGCCAGTTTATTACTCTAGTACCTTCTGCTCAAGGTTTTATGATCTTGGCCGTGATTCTCTCAATCTGCCTGTCTCTCTTGTTTATATGGAGGTGGTTTGCCCTATCACCTCAGTTCTCCGATGAATCTAAGGAAAGCTGTGGATTTTCAGTTTGTTCAGCTCAGCTTTCTTTCCTGTTCCAAGGATAGAAATGATGACTTTCAAGATCTTTACATGTGAGAGGGGAAGCCAGAGGTCAGCAGTGATTTTAAGAAGGCGGCTTATTTTCCTTTCACAAAAATGTAGCCAACCCAGGGCAGATATGGCAGTGCTCTGATCATCTGGGACCCAGGATCCTTTTATCTTGTCACTTTGCCATCCTCAAGCTGCATTTCCTCGTTCTGTTTAGAAATGGCTTCTCTGTCCCCAGCCATGATATACTATTCCAGCCATTCTGCTGAAAGGAAGGAAGTGGAAGTGGAGGGGGAGAGACACTGTTCTTTTCTTTAAGATACCCTTGTTATTTCAGGATACTTCTTAGAAGTTGCTCTCACCACTTCTGATTACAATAAAACTTTCAGACCCTTAGTTCACATGACTACACCCAGCTGCAGAGGAGGGTGGGAGAAGTAGCTTTAACTTGGAGGTGTCATGGAAGAAGGAGACTAGCAGCAATTAGCAGTCTCTGGCCACATCAGTGTTTATTCCAAGGGTTTCCTCAGATTCCCCAAGGTATCTATGACACAGAGGGACTTAAGAAACTCTGCTTTATAAAACTGCCTGAGATTCGGGGTCACAGCATATCAGTACCCCGCTGGCACTGGGACCAACGTACCCAGAACATTTAGTCTAAGCAGAATACCATTCAGTTTACTTCATTTTCCTGAAGGGTTGCCATGGGTCTTACATTGAGCTGATAATAAGCAAATCTCTACCTACCCTCAAAGAATGATTTCTCTCCCCTGGCAGCTCCGCCAGTCAGCAACTTGTCTGAACAAGTCATGATGAAAGATAACGAGGACAAACATATTTTGTGTATATCAAGTGGGTTCTACCCAAGGCATATTAACATCACGTGGAAAAAGTGGACCCAGAAGGATCCCCAGTTCCGGGAGTTTTCTCAGAATATCACCACTGACCACATAGTCGAGAATGAGGATGGTACATTTAATATCACTAGCCACCTGAGGCTGAAGCCATCTCAGGAAGACAATGGGACCATCTATCAGTGTGTGGTATGGCATGTATCCTTGCCCACAATCCAGAGTTTCAACTTCCACTTGGTTCTACATCCAGGTAAGCATCTTCCTGGACATTTCCCTTACTCTTCATCTTGAAGGGAGGATCATATAAACTTTGGTTATATAGGGAAGGGGAGAAAGATTGGTCTGATTTAGCTCAGCCCCAGAATCAGCAGTCCAGATTAGGTCCCTAAGCCAGGACAGATGGTCTAATAGGTAGACAGATGGTCTAATAGGTGACCTGGCTTCTGTGGTCATGGCTCTGGTCCTAGGTGGGGATGACCCTGTTGGTCCAATGCATCTGCATAGAGCTGAGAGAGGTAATGAAGGCAGAGACTGACTGGTGGCCCTGAGGAATGTGGTCTGGATGTGCCAGATGGGGCTTGAGATGATCCTGAAGGGAGAGAGACATTGTTCTTAGAAGTAAAGACTAGGGATTGTGTGGGTGGTGTGTGCACAGATGTGTTTAGGGTATCTCTGGAACATGGGGAATATGAAATTGAAATATGCTTTGTGTGTTTGGTATCAGGGATTTGTCTGGGCTGGGTGATATGTATATATGTTAGCCCATTGTTGTTGTTTAGTCGCTAAGTTGTATCCAACTCTTTTGTGACCCCATGCACTGTAACTCGCCAGGCTCTTCTGTCCATGGGATTTCCTAGGTAAGAATACGGAGGTAGGTTGGCAGGCAGATTCTTTACCATCACCTGTCACCAGGTAAGCCCTCTTAGTCCATGTGGACTGCTATAACAAATTGCCACAGACTAGGTGGCTTGTAAGTGCCTCCTCGGGTGGTGCTGTGGTAAAGAACCGCCTGCCAATGAAGGAGATGGGGGTTGGGAAGATCCCCTGGAGAAGGAAATGGCAACCCACTTCAGTATTTTTACCTAGGAAATCCAATGGACCAGAAGAGCCTGATAGGCTACAGTGCATGGAATCGCAAAGAGTCATCCATGCTGAGTGACTGAGCATGCACATGCACGCATGCAGGTGGCGTATAAGCAACAGAACTTCATTTCTCACAGTTAAGAGGCTGGAATCCCAAGATTAGTGGCCAGCATAGTTGAGTGCAGGTTTCAGACTTCTCATGCTATCCTCACAAGGTGGAAGGGGTGATGGATCTCTCAAGGTCCTCCTTTATAGGGCACTGATCTCACTCCTGAGTGCCGCACCCTCATGACCTACTCACCTCCCCAAAGCCCTGTCTCCTAATGCTATCATACTGGGCATTAAGATTTCAGCATTCACATTTTGAGGGGAGAGTGACATTCAGTCTTTAGCCATATACAGGTGATATGGATGGTATAGTGGTATGGAAGCTTTAAACATGTGCCCAGCATGTGCATATTGTATGTGGTGTTTGATATTGCTGTTATTTCTGATACGTGCTAAACAGGCTGTTTGGGGTCTGGAGGTGTAAGTGATAGGATGGAGGAGGGCAAAGACATGTGGCAGAAGGTTGGTGGCACTATCTCTGACAGAAGATGACATACAACTACACAAATCCTAGAAGCAGTCATGTGGTCTCTTTGCCCCCTGCCAGTAGGCTTCCTCTTAACGTTTTCTTCCTTCTTTTCGCAGAATCTGAGAAGAAAACTTACCAGTTCTATATTGACATGAGCATATTAATCATTATTGGACTGATTATTGGACTGATCTTTATCGGACTGAAAAGGTAAGGGGCTCCAAAGCAAAGTTTAGCCTTGTGTTTTGGAGTAGGCTCTGGGAGTTCAGAATTCATTGCCAGTGCATGGTGTTGGAGAGCTCTCAGGATTGATGCTGGAGTGTTCTAAGTGTATTTATGATGTATGACTTTTTTTGATGTGTTGGGGAGGAACTGTCTCATCTGGTCTCCATGTAGCAGCCTGGGACTCTGGGAAGATGTGCTGTAAAGCCCCTCTGCCTCCTCCTGATGAACTGGCTCACTGTGAATTAAGACCTCATTGATCACCCCAGGCCTGTGAATGATATATGAGCTGCAGTGTTACTGTCACATATAGAGTCCATGGCTCAGAGAGGGGATTTCCTTCCCCACATATTTGCGCATATTTTGTTAGTAACTCAATGGGATAACTTACCACCCAGATTATACTGGTTTAACCAAGAATTTCCAACCCTAGTGAGGGTGTTTCCAATCTAAAACATGTTTCCAAACATGTTATTCCCTATGGCCCAAATAGCAAATAAAACAACTCAAACTGTTGTCGAGGCCAGTTTAAATGCAGTTAAATGCTTTTGGGTAATAAAATTGCCCACAATTATTTACAGGCCTGCCAATGCAGAATCTGTGCAATAGCTAGTATATCTCATTATAAATGCTTTTGGAAAAGCAGACCAGTCCATTCATCAAGAAAAAAGGCTGTTTGTCTAAAGTTGGCCAACTGATTCATAGGACTTACTCTCCTGATTTAACCTAGGTCAGTAAAATGCTGGAAATGCTGCCTGCTGGAGGATGAGGAGAGAGGGTCTGCGCTCAGTGTTGTCCAATGTTGTCCAGTGTTCATGACAGGACAACGGCCTGTAGTCCGCCAGGCTCCTCTGTCCGTGAAATTTTCCAAGCAAGAACACTGGAATGGGTTGCCATTTCCTTCTCCAGGGGCTCTTGCCAACCCAGAGATCGAACCCAAGTCTCCTGCATTCCAGGCAGATCCTTTACTGCTTGAGCCGTTGCGGGAAGCTGGAGGATGAGAGACACTGTAATCGGAGACTTCTGGGGGATGAGACCCCCGAAGCTGGAACTGGATCAGATGACCGCTTCCTCAGTGCATCAACAAATCTAGCTGAGACCCAGAGGGATGGGATGGGGAGGGAGGTGGGAGGGGGGTTCAGGATGGGGAACACATGTAAATCCATGGCTGACTCATGTCAATGTATGGCAAAAACCACTACAATATTGTAAAGTAATTAGCCTCCAACTAATAAAAATAATAGGGGAAAAAAAAGGCAAAAAAAAAAATTCTAGCTAAGATCATCAGTACCAACAGAACTGACCCTTGAGGGCATGAGACTTACTTTTCAAAGCCACTTGAAAAATAAAGCAATAGAGTGGCTTGTCACACAGTGAAAGCTGACTGATACAACTCTTCTGGAAGCTGGATTTTGACCCAAAAGTGTGATTGCCATGGAGATGTGCTGCTGAGACCCCCTCCAAGAGAGCCTGCTATGAAGAGCGTACTTAGCCACCATGTTCCAGCTATGGCATCTCAGGCATCTGCTGTAGTTTTCAGGCTTACTTGAAAGCTAATGCCATGCTATCCCTCACTTATCCCTTCTTCCTCCCTTCACAGATAGCAGACCTGTGTCAAAGTTTCAGTTAGAACTGTACTTACTTCCCTCTGATTTACCCTGTATGTATTTCTCTTCCCCAGTAACAGTGGCATAGTGAGAAAAACTGGAAGTGATCAAGGGAAGTAAGGGTACATAGAAGCAGGGTTATGTAATGAATTGTGTAGTTGCATATGCATTTTGTATCACTACTTCAATTATTGGCATCAGTGCCTGGAAGGACCTAAGGACAGGGAAAAGACAAGTTTACACTCCTGTACCCAAGTTGGCCAGTTTAGGTGACCTGCCTTTCATATCACTCCAGAGTGGAAATAGAGTAGGGTGTAGGTAGATGAAGATATACAATGCCCCAAGCCAGGTGGACCTGGCAGAGAGAAAGCCTATTGTAGAGAAAGAGCAATTGGTGGTGGCAGTAGTCAGGCTCTCTCTTGTTCTACAGCCTCTCGCTCTTGCCCCACGTTTGGTAAATAATGATTATGTAAGAGCTGAGATCACTTACAGCACTGTGCATGCATGTCATGAGGTACTTCTTGGCCACAGGCTGCTTTTGTTCTGTAAGTATATATAAGCTCCGCCTGAAAAGCCCTGGAGGCTACATTATGGCTATGTTAAAGTTATGTTATGGCTGCTGCTATGGGTGCTGTGCCAGTCAGGAGAGAATAAATGTGTCTGCAGTTCCTATAGCTCCTTGCCTCTTCTTCCAGACTCTTAGTTCACGCCTCACCTACCCTGGATTCAGCGAACAGTGCATACAATGAGATACAGCAAGACAGCTGGTATAGTCAGCAGGATACAACGAGACACCGTTCTAATGCAAGAAACCCACTCTCTGGAACCCAGTTTTGACTCTAATCCCATTGTTTGGCCTTTCCCCAACTCCTTTCAAGTTGGAACAGATCTGTTTTTATTCAAGCCTACCCTAATCTGGGGGTCAGCAGCATTTATGTCTTCTTCCTCCAGGTCTTCTGCATGTCTTAGTACAATAAGGTGTCTGACAGTAGCCCTGGGGAGACCTCAGAGGTGAACCCAGATATGTATGGGGAGCCAGAGCTACTCTTTGCAGCAAGCACTCTAGGAAAGTTCTCCCTAAGAAAAGATGTTGGAGAGGAACTCGAGAGCAGGACAGAGCTGAGAATGATACATGAGGAGAGTGGGTTCATAGAAGCTGGCTGAGTCCACCCCAGCAGAAAGACCAGAGGGCCACCTAGGTGGGCCACATGTGGGCTGTGTGGTGACTGGCTGGAGATGCCAAACCCAGAGGCATTAGGCCTGAGCAGTTTTTCAGAATGTCTAAGTAGATCATGAACTCCTTATTGCCAAATTCAGACTTAAACTGAAGAGAGTAGGGATAACCACTAGACCATGCAGGTATGACCTAAATCAAACCCCTTGTGAATATACAGTGGAAGTGAGAAATAGATTTAAGGGACTAGATCTGGTAGACAGAGAGCCTGATGAACTATGGATGGAGGTTCATGACATTGTACAGGAGACAGGGATCAAGATCATCCCCATGGAAAAGAAATGCAAAAAGGCAAAATGGTTGTCTGAGGAGGCCTTACAAATGGCTGTGAAAAGAAGAGAAGCAAAAAAAAAGAGAAAAGGAAAGATATTCCCATCTGGATGCAGAGTTTCAAAGAATAGCCAGGAGAGATAAGAAAGCCTTCCTCAGCAATCAATGCAAAGAAATAGAGGAAAACAACAGAATGGGAAGGACTAGAGATCTCTTCCAGAAAATTAGAGATATCAAGGGAACATTTCATGCAAAAATGGGCTCAATAAAGGACAGAAATCGTATGGACCTAACAAGCAGAAGATATTAAGAAGAGGTGGCAAGAATACACAGAAGAACTGTACAAAAATGTTTGTCATGACCCAGATAATCACAATGGTGTGATCACTCACCTAGAGCCAGACATCCTGGAATGGGAAGTCAAGTGGACCTTAGAAAGCATCACTACGAACAAAGCTAGTGGATGTGATGGAATTTCAGTTGAGCTATTTCAAATCCTGAAAGATGATGCTGTGAAAGTGCTGCACTCAATATGCCAGCAAATTTGGAAAACTCAGCAGTGGCCACAGGACTGGAAAA